TTTTTTTATTAAGTAGGGGTTGTTCAAAAAGCTATGTGGAAAACGGGGAGTGATAAGCCGGATGAACTATCACTCTCTGAACTCTTTTTAAAAATTAAGCCAGGATAGTGGATATATTGTTGCATTGTTATGCTAAAGCACAGGTAATATTATTTCCCCGTATGCGGGAAAGAGCTCAGAAAGAGGTAAACAGTTCCTGTGTGAGAAGACGCAGTGGGGATAACTTCAGCATTATGAGCCTGTTAACTTCCTGAAACGGCAACAATCTCGGCGTTTTTTGCGCTTTTGTCAAAATGAATGTGCAAATATTTGCATATCCCGGAAGAGCATTTGTCGGCGTTCATTCATTGAGAGCACAGTTGGAGGAAGTAAGGCAGTTTGAAAACCAGCACACTAATGGGGGAGTAATAGCAGAAAGGAAAAACCGGTAATGGCTTGAAGTCCAATACATGATTAAACATTCTCCATTTAATAATATATTCTGAAACTAATCCTATCATAGAAATAACAGGTGTAGTTCAGTAGCTTTGAAAAGTAGCATATTAAATCTATCGACAGGTGTTTCTTTATATTACGCCATAGTAATCTCAACGTCATCAAAACTGTTCGAGATCAAAACTGCCCTCTTTCTAGCAAAAATAGGGAAGAAGGCATGTTTAGATTTGACTCTTGAGCATTCTTCGGACGTTCTGCCTATGAGTAGCGACAGAATACGGACGGAGACCTAGTGGTAGCACAAGTGATACCGTCGTTTCTTTTTATTCCCAGAGCTTCCCTAACGTTACCTGTCAACCTTCTCTTCGTCTTCGAAGGAACCAGAAATTGCACCTACCAGGGTCAGTTGCTGCAGCCTTTGATTTGCCGTAAGAAAGGTCCAAAACCTCAGAAAATATGCTCAATATCGAATAAAACGAGACTTGCTACTCCGCTCGGGCTGTTTAGGCTGAAGAATCAGTTAACATCATTACCCTAATCAACCACTGCTGAGGAAAGTGATGAAACGGCATAAAATGGAGACCGTTGGATAGGTGGGAGACGTGAGCAGTCGGCAGGGAATTTAGCCACCGTTTGTTTCGGAGAAAAGAAGAATCCTATCTGTTTATGTTCTGATACTTTAATTAGCGAATTTGCTCCCTATCCCCATCATCACGACTTGGGTTTGTAACTTTACTACTTCAATTATCAACTCACATTTTTCTACGTTATAAAGTCTAGCAAATGCGTGCAAGTGTAATCAATAGGAATTTACTCCTTGCCTGTCGTCAGGAGAGACTAACAATAGTTGAATTACACTGCGCGATCAGCATAGGCCGACTAACCATTCCTGATTAAAACCAACTGGTCCCTTTTTGATAACAACACATAAACATGGGATCTGGGTTCCTTATATGGCTTTCGTGAGAGTAGTAACCTTCCCCTTTTTCTTATGAAGACGAACTTGTAGTATGTTGCAGGAAGCGTGGATATTATCATGTCCTAACCATAACATAAGCCTTAACCCTAGTGTTAACACTATCACTCATTAACGGGAGAATAAGCATACAGGATGTGTATTACGGGCATTTCTTGTTTCTCTGTCCCGCCGGGGGATCGTTTAAGCAACCCCCACCAAAAATACGAATCTAGGGTTCGTTAAAGCAACATACTGACCACTGCTCATGCAGTCCTGGAAGGATGCGGAGCGTTAAACCGGCGGCGGCACTCCCTTGTGTGTGTATATAAATGGGGTCTGTTGCTGTTGCCGGTGCCAACAGTATGTGTGTACGCATATGCAAACATCACTACTGTGTGTGTGTGTGGTCGTGGTTGAAAATAATGTTATTTTGCAAAAAACCCGTCGCAGATTTCTCTGCCTCACAGTTTCTAAAGCTCCGTAATACTGTTCTGTAGAGGTGCCATCAACCATTTGATTGGCAAAGACTTCGCTTCCTTGTTTAGCAGCCGATTCACGTATTTAAAAACGAATTATAGGCAATCTCTCTGGGACAAATAATAACTCGCTTCTGATGTCTTGACCTTACAAGCCTTGTCATCCATCAATTTTCAAAAGCGAACACCCACACATTCAATATTTTTGGTGCGTATTTTCAGGAAAGTAGTGTTGCTAAGCTCCCTCAGTTCACAAATATTTAAAATAGCCCAAAGCAGAGGACGAAAACACCGGCCATGATCGACTACACTTTACTAATGGCTATAAAAACACATTTGCATTTATATGCATTAGTTTCAGCTGCTATAAACTTGCTTCAACTCGTTAAGGTAAATAACTACTTTGCTTCCAAAATCAGCTAGAAAATGTTTTCTCAATAGAAAATCTCACGGGACTTAGGCCTGTTTTGACCAACCCAGAAAAGGTCCAGAAAATTCCAGCTATCTGATCTGAGTTCCAAGGTATTTATACTTGATCGCTACTCTGTGCAGGCTCTAGAAGCCGGCAACGCAGGATAATAAAATTAGGCCGAAGAAATTGAAAAGCATAAAAACAATGCCATAGGGGAGCGTACGCATAGGAGGACAGATGATCATCCGATGTTAGTTGAATATCCAACTGTGAGGTCAGGAGATTTCGGCTGTGGTCCTTTTCGGCGGTCGAGAGCAGATGAATTGGTACGTACTCGTTGCCGCCCCGATTGGCTGAAAAACATGAAAACGATGCGCGCATCAATGTTCCGATATTTTTTGGCAGCAAATCTAACATCTTGTGGCAATCTCACTACAACTATTAATTATAGAAAGTGATTTTTAACGAGAGGGAGAGGGACTGGAGTGTCTATTTACTCCCTAATCGTCGCGCTATACTTTTTCAATGAGACTGCTTCATAATGACTGCTAGGAGCAAGGACTTATTTGGTCATTCTTGTTTTGTGACTAGAATAGGCGAGTC